CCGACGCCTAAGCGCGGTTGCGCTTTCAACCTAACTTGGCCCAGCCTGACCAAGTCAGGAAGTGACCAAGACGTGACAGAGGGGGACACCACCACCCTCTGCCACCCGTCCCGGCGCACCGTGTGCCATGGGGTGCGGAGCCCCCACTCCACACCCCACGGTGCCCAAGACCGCCGAGTCGCCCGGCATTCCCCTAACATAGGGGGGCCCAAACGCTCGACGTGCGTCAGCAAGCCGTGCGAACGTCGTACGGACGAGCGGCGAGGCGACGGCGGCTCACGAGAATCGAGCCCGCGCCGTCCCCGCCACCGGCGACCACGGCTCCCTATGTACCCCGAGGAGCCACGCGGGACGGAGCGCCCTCGCGGGCTCGCTCGTGCTCCTCCTTTTTACTCATGACGGCCTCACTAAACGCCATGAAGGCCTTCCGTCCCTCCTCGCTCAGCAAGCTTCTGAGCAGTCCCGACATCGTGAGGTTAGGCCCGATCGCTCTGACCAAATCCGCGCGCATATCGTCCCACGCCGGGCAGTAGCGCAACGTGTGCCGCGCAGTGTCGTGCTGCGCCGCACAGTGCCAGCATTTGGGTGAGTTCTCCCGCCCGATGCGACACAGATACCGGCCAAAACACCCGTGACCGGTTAGCATCTGCGTCGCCTGGAACGAGAGACCCACCCTGGCCTCCGACCATCTTTCGATAATCGGCGCGATCGCCCCGGCTATACCAGAGCCCTCGTGGTTCTGATGCGAGAGCCACACCTCCCAGGCATCATAAAGGTGCCTTCGCGTGCGAACGCGCACCTCGTTCACCATGGAAGGTGTTACTCCCTCCACCCCGTGCGTACGCTTGAGCCGGGCCACCTGGTCATAGGTGGCCGCGTACATGTCGGCGGTGATCTCTATCGGCGGAGATCCCGCCAGGGCTGTCACATCGGCGAAGGCCGCCGTTTTGTATGCCCGGACGATTCGGCCCGCTGTCCTCCTCTGTGCCGAGTGGAGCTGACTCAGCACCCGTCGGTTTTCCGCGATGTCTTTCGCCCACACCGGCGCCCCATACAGGGCCACCGAGTTGGCGACCATCGCGTACAGCCGACGCACGCGGCCGTTGGGCCCACCCAGATTGGGCAGCAATCTGCCCAAGTGCGACGCCGTTCTGGCGACCTTCGGCACAATCTGCCGGAAGTGCGGCTCGAAGGAGAATCGGCTGTCGAGTATCAGCCCCAAGTACTTCAGCTGCGAGCCGATCTCAACGCGCACCCCAGCGACACGCACGTGGTCCCCTGGGGGCCTCCCGCGACGGTAGAAGCCAATCGCCTCTGTTTTGTTGGCAGCCACGCTGAGGCCAAGCTCCTCGATCTTGGCCACCACCGCCCGTGCGGACTCCGTCGCCCTGATCCTGGCCTCCTCCCAGTCGCAGCCCGCGGACAACACTATAGTATCGTCCGCGTAGCATACCGCCACGCTGTCTTCCGGAAGATCGGCCCCTCTCAGAACCTCGTCATAGCCGAGGTTCCACAACAGTGGTCCAAGCACCGAGCCCTGCGGGACCCCGCGGCTCACCACCCTCTCGGCTCTGGAGCCCGTCGCATCGGAGTACTCGATGCTCCTGCCATCGAGGTAGGACCGCACAATCCGCCGCAGATACAGCGGCACCCCGTGCCTGCGCAGGGCGTCCCCAATACGGTCCTACGGGAGGGAGTTGAACGCGTTGCGGATGTCCAACGACACCCCGACAACGACGTCCCCCTCCCCCCATGCCTCCTCGACAAATCGACGCACGCACAGGACCGCGTCGACAGTGCTGCGCCCGCGCCGGAAGCCGAACTGCCGGTCGTGCAGGCAGCGTCCCCAGCGCCGAGTCAGGCACGCGCAGATCCGCTCCGATATTACCCGCTCAAAGAGCTTCGCCTCGTCGTCTATCATGCAAATCGAGCGGTATCCGGTCGCCGCGTCCGCCGGCTTCCCCGACTTCCTCAGCAGCACTAGTGCCGCCCGCTTCCATGCTGCTGGGAATACACCCCTCCGCAGGCACTCTGTGAAGAGGGCTCTCATGCGGCCGCCCATCAGGTCTACCGCCACTCCCCATGCCCTGGACGGGATACCATTGGGCCCCGGTGCGGCGTTGCGCGACATCATCCGTCGCTTGGCACTGATGAGCTCCAACCTTTTTTTTTTTTTTTGTTGACGAGG